TTTCACTAAAACATCCTTGCAATCAATTTATTTAATTGACCTTTCATAAAATGAAAGTGGAAAATAACAGTTTTAACCCTAGCATCCATTCAAATAAATTAATTAAAAGAAACTAAAAACAAAAATGCCATTTTTGCACCTAGTAAAACATGGGCAATTACTATTTTTTTCCTCTATTTGGTCAATTTTGTTTTTATACAAAAAAAGTGTTAGGGTACTTTTCAGATAAATAACAATGGATCCATACTGAATTCGAGGTCTCGATCCCAACTTGTAAACATTTCTATTTATAACAAAGGTAGTGCATTTCAGTATGGATCCATTGTTGTTTATTCTAAAAGAACCCTAATGCTTTTTTGTATAAAAAACAAAATTGGCCAAATAGAGAAAAAATAGTGGTTGCCCGTGTTTTACTAGGTGCAAAAATGGTATTTTTGTTTTTAGTTTCTTTTACTTAAACTTATTTGAATGGATGGTTAGGGTTAAAACTATCATTTTCCACTTTCATTTAATGGAAGGTCGATTAAGTAAATTGATTGCAAACTAGGGGATGTTTTAGTAAAACACAAACTATAATGTAGGTTTTAGTAAATGACCCTTTAGTAAAACACAAATTATAGGTAGGTTTTAGTAAATTTATGAAACTATAGAGGGTATTTTAGCAAATGAAAAAAAGGGAAAAATCCCAACTAGTACCTATACTTTGGGCCTAATGCCACTTTGGTCCCCAAACTTTAAAATGCAACTATTCAATACCCGAGCTTTCAAAACATGCCAATCCGGTACCAGCCGTTAAGTGGCATTTGAAAATACACACATTCTCTTCGAGTTTCATCTAATTCTCTTTATCAACTATCCAAACATTGATAAAAAATGAACAATACCAAATCCTTACCTCTTCTATTCAAAACATGACCCCAACTTTTTTGAATAGAAGAGGCAAGGATTTGAAACTATTCATTTTTTATCAATGTTTAGATGGTTGATAAAGAGAATTAGATGACACTCAAAGGGCATTTATGTCTTTTTAAATGCCATTTAATGGTTGGTTAATAGGTTAACGACACTTTAAAAGTTCAAATACTAAAGGGAAAATTCCCGATAGGTACCCTGTACTTTAGGCTGAGTGCCAATTTAGTATCTATACTTTAAATCGTGACAATCTAGTACCCGAACTTTCAATTTGGGACAATTTGGTACCCGACGTTAGATTTCCGTCGGTTAGAGGATAGAAAGTCTTAAATACTCCCAGTGCTATTTTCGACCAATTAAAATTATTAAAATAATCTACCGAGCAATGCAAGTAGGAACCACTGTTCATACTTGCATTTATAGAGAACCAGCTCCCTCATGCTGATGGTGTCAGGTGAATGTGCCCACCGGGAAAGTTGATTTCGATGTACATGATGCCGTAAAATTATTGTGTCACCGAGAATCCGAGAAGCAGTGTCGTTTTCGGAGGACAACTCCTATTGCCCATCATTGGAACATTCTTGCGACCATTGTTTACTCAGTCATTGCCGAAGAAGACGACTTGTTGCCAGTGCCGAAGAGACAACCAGGGTTCGTTCGTTCAACCCAAAATGAAGAGGAATGTCGGCTCTCTTCTCATCTTTCGTTCATCCAACCCAGAATGAAGACAACAGGTTTCATTCGTTCAACCCAGAATGAAGACAACAGGTTTCGTTCGTTCAAAAAACTCGGAAACAAATCAAGCATACTAATTCATGGTTCCAAAAATAGCAATCCCCCACAATAATTTATCATAGTCTCCACCATGCAAACATGAGACTAGATAATTGAAATCTCAAAAAGGAAAACTCTCTCTTGGCTCTTGTATTGCCTGGTTCAAAAATCAAAACACAATCAGGGTTTTAAGCATCATTTCTTGGGCCATTCAGTAGGAAGAGCAGCGGCAGTGTTGGTGAAGGCATTTAAAACTAGAAAGGCTAGAATAGGAGAGAGATACAGTGTCCCTCCAAGAGGTGGAATAATCCCTCAGAATATGTTCAAGTAAGGATCACACAAAGTGTTGAATGAAGGAGGAAAAAAAGAAATTCCAAATCAAAACATTTGAGGCATAGAAGACAAAAAAGTTCAAAACAATCACTACAAGGATAACAATAGGCTCCATTAGAATTTTAAGTGTCTAGAAAATCAGGTAGCATATCTTTGTATTCTAATTGACAATGCACAATCATAGGCAAGAAAATTCAGAACTCCAATAGCTCTGATTGCTCAACATTGATTTTTCTTTACACTAGTAAGTGGAGAGCATTCATGAGAGTTAAAGAAGCGCACTTGAGAGGGCTAACAATGGCAGAGGAGTGTTGGGAAACCATGTCAAAACAAGCCAGACAATCAGCAGAGTGTTATAGATGTTCAAGAAGTTTAAAGTTCCATTTGACACCACAATCCCCGCCACTGAATCACCAGGTAAAATGGCAGGCTTGGCAGCAAAGTTGTGGTTGTACAAGGTATTGAGACTCCTGGAATTTCTGCAATGAATTTGAAAGAAGACTTCAATGTAGTACTCATGTCTCTTAAGAAACAAGAGAAATTTGTGCAACTTATGTCCTGATAAGAGTTATATGTGCCAACCACCCATGCTGATAACCAGCCCAAAACCCCAACCTAATTGTTTTCTTGTGTTCTTGGGCTACCATATCTCAAACCAGTTAATAATCTGACTAGATCAATATGACTAATTTCCATCGACATCTCCATCATCTAAGGCTTGTCCTTACTGACATTCATCTCCAACGTAATTTGGCCCTGCATGAATCTAACTAATTCCCTAGATTTCCCCTGTTAGAGCTGGCACACATCAATGGAATTTGGATCGTCAAGAATCAACCCTTTGCCACATTTAGGTAGGTAAGTTAGTATCTGAAGCAAAATGACCAACTCAAATACCATATGAGAACTACTTGGCTGTAGATATAATTCTTCCAAGACAGACAAAGTCTACATTCAAACTATAAAATTTTCTCTTGCAAGAACAATACGAGTGATTGATGTTTGAACAGAGAAAATAAATCCCTATCCAAGCCAAGGAATGAAGGAATAGCTTTCCACGATTGGTTTGAACATTTTCTTTAAGAAAAATTTCTGATTTATCCCAATGAAGGTTTTGTATGAACGAAAATTCCTAACCAAACAACTTATACATGGTATTTATAATGAGATACTATTTTGATGATGCGACGACAAAAACAGAAAGAAACAGTAAGCCATTACGAATGAATTATGAAATAGAACTTAAGAAAGTATTTTCCACCTTTCCCAATCAATTGCACGTACAAATGCCAATTGCGGGCAGACATTGTTTCAATTACTAGTCATCCTTCGATATGACAGTCTTGAAATGAAAATTCATAATTGTCTATATCAAAAGGATTCTAAAATTTTTCATCAGGGGAAGAGGGGTGCAGAGAATTACTTGGAAGAAGTTGCAAAAATTGGTAGGTAAAGAGAAGAGATTCTGAAGAAAAGGATTTGCAGAAATGACTGAGTTTTAAGGGCTTGAAACATCGATCAACGGATGATAACAGTGACTTGTGTAGCAGCTGGATGATATCGAGGGGTGTTGAAACGATGCATGAAACACCAAAAAGCGACCTGTGCCTTTTGTTCGTTCAACCCAGAATGAAAGCATGTTTCGTTTATTCAACCCAGAGTGAAAATAAGAAGGTTTTTTCATCAAAGGGTATTTTTAGTATTTTGAAATTTTTAACCCGCATGTGAGTTTCTAACCGATGGAAATCTAACGCCGGGTATCAAATTATTACAAATTGGAAGTTCAGGTACTAAATTGGCCCAAATTAAAAATTTGGATGCTAAATTGTCACGATTTAAAGTACGAATACTAAATTGTCACTAGGGGTGTTCACGGGTCGAGTTGGGTCGGTTTCATGGGATTTTCCCAACTGACCCAACCTAGTCGGGTTACCAGAGGTGGGAACCGAAACCGACCCATTGATAGGCCAAACCGACCTGGTCGGTTTGAGTCGGTTTGGATCGGTTTCGGTTTTGCTCCTGTACAAAGCCGAATAAACTCTGAATTAATTGAGGACTTGAGTTGAGGGGGGCGGACCAACCAAGTTAAATTAGAGAATAGAAGATTTTAAGAAAAGACAAAAGTGGAATTAGAAGACTAGTAGGAAACTATGAATTCTAATTGTAATTGCCTAATCTAGGTAAAAAACTAAAAAATGACACCTAATTAATTGAATTCTAATTGTAATTGCCTAATCTAGGTAAAAAACTAAAAAATGACACCTAATTAATTGAATTCTAATTGTAATTGCCTAATGGACCTTCTAGTTCAAGTAGGAATTCTAATTGTAATTGCCTAATCTAGGTAAAAAACTAAAAAATGACACCTAATTAATTGAATTCTAATTGTAATTGCCTAATGGACCTTCTATTTCTAGTAGAAGTCTAGAAGACTAGTAGGAATTAGAAAACTATTCAAACTAGGAAGTAGGAACTAGCAAACTAATAGAAGAAAGACTAGTTCGGTTCGGATTGGGTCGGTTTCGGTATTCTTATGTGAAAACTGAAACCGACGCGAGATATCGGTTTTTGTATGTGCCCAACCCGAAACCAACCAGTACGAATGAAAACCCGGCCGACTCAGGTTGGGTCGGTCCGGGTTGGTCGATTTGGTCGAGTTGGGCATTCTTATGAATAGCCCTAATTGGCACTCTACGTAAGTACAAGATACCTATCGAGAATTTTCCCAATACTAAATTGCCAATTTTAAAGTTCAGGACAAAAATGACACTAAGCCTTTCAGGATACTAATAGCGAATTTTCCCAAGATGGGATCCAATGGCTCAACGAATAAATGTGGCGGACCGGCGGTCTAGTTGAGGGCCTTGAGGCAATGATTCAATAATGGGACTTCATCCAAGTTCAATTGTTCGGACGTCAGATGGGGATCTACTTTCCAACAATACCATCATATGTTTCAATCCAATACCAACGCTTACTATTGAATTTCTGCCCTTTCCGGCCTTTACACGCCTCCATCGCATTTTTCCGGTCCCCTTATGCGGGCTGTTCTCAAAGGACTCTTTTCTTTCAAGCCTTTCGACAAACAGAAGACCAAGTTGTTTTCCGCTCCCATTATCCGCAAAAGAGCGACAGAGACTCCAACTTCAATTCGATCTGATACAGACAGGGAGATGGGCTACGTCTTGAGAGTTAGGCTAGCGTCGTTCTTTGCTGGTGCTGCAACAGCGTCGGCTGTGGGCTTCTACATCCTTCACAGGGATTACAAGGTTGCCCATGCAGCCATCTCCCAGCAGGTTGGTGTAACTCCTCTGATCCATTCCCTTCGTCTCTGTTCGTGCATTCATATTCTAACTTTTCCATTTGACCATTTCGAAAGATGACTCTTTTGTGTAGACAGAACCCCTCTAAATAGGAAGGAAAAGGAATATAGTTGTGTTCGGTAATAATCTGGATAAACATTGAATCTTCCCCAAAAGCAAATTTCTTCTCTTTAAATTGACTGATACCTAGGCAGGGGCGGGGATAGTTTTTTGTAATTTCTAGAGAAGTTACCTCGTGAGGATGGGAGATTTTGGTAGTTATCAACATGAGGAGGGGTCTCTCGTTTAAGTTATTTAACCAATTGCAGCCATACATATGTTCCTTTTCTTCTAATTCTTCCACTTATTTTCTTTCTTTCTTTTTTTTTTTTTTTAAATAAAACCAGAGCCAAGGCAGATCTCTTTCCCTTGTGTCTTGTGGTTCTTTTGGACTATGAAATCTAATTTAGTATATTTTCTACCCTCATGTATGTTTGGCACATCTGCTGCAGAAGAAGCTATACTGGAGATCGAATTTCTAAATATTGAGAAAAAATGGTCTTTCAAATCTTTATCAAATCAATTGGTGTTCCTTAAAATTATTTTGCTACATAAGGTTTTATGTATAAACGAGAAATATTAAGGGTCTAGATGAGTTTATACACTTTAAGTTCTCAATTGTGCACTTGGTTTCATATATAGGCTTCGTTTGTTTCAATGTAAAATGGACCAAATTTTGTCATGCTGAAACATTTGAGCTAAAAATGCCAACCGTTATTTCTGAATCTAGTCCAGCCCTCCCAAGACCCCAGATAGCTGGGACCGACATTGGGTAATGACCTTATTGTACAAATTAAAAGGGGTGAAAAACAAAGTTTTTGCAGCAAAAGAGGAAGGTAGCAATTGTTGAGATATTTTAGTCAAAAATTAATATGTATTTGGTACACAAATATAGTACACAAATATACTCTAATGTATGCAAGCTCCTTCATTCCACTTGTGATCCCCCACACTTCTCTGGAATGAAAGGATAAAAATCTGAAGTTGGTAAACCATGGCCTAAAATTTATTATGACAAATACTCTTTTTGGTACAATTGAAGGAACATTTCTCTGTCTTTATTTCTCTCATGATTCATCTTGATATCTGTTGAAGGGAATTTGGTCTTTGAATGTAAGAATTGGATATAGAGATGCATGCTTTCGCTCATTGCAAGTCCTATTGGAATGCCATTAAATTAATAAAAAGAACTCTGATGTATTTTTGACCTCAAGTCTTTATCATCTATCTTGTGATGCCTAAAGTAGCTGTACATGTCCAAACCCACAACACCCTAGGACCTCTAATAAGAAACTCCAATCCACAAGATCGTAGGCCTTTTCTAAATCCAACTTATGAACAAACCCTTGCTTTCTGGACTTTCTCATATCCTCTACACATTCATTAGCTATTAGAATCTGATCTGTTATTTGTCTCCCTTGCATGAATGCTCCCTGGGCTTGACTAATGATGGAGGGTAGCTCTACTTTAATCCTCAAAGATAACACTTTAGCCAGGATTTTGTAAATGCTAGTCACCAAACTAATCGGCCTAAAATTTTTTGGATTTTTTGCTTCTTTCTTCTTAGGGATTAGGGCTATGAAAGTAGCATTAACTCCAAGGCTTACTTTGTTATTATCCTCAAATTCCTTAAACACAACAAAAAGGTCTTCTCTTACCACATTCCAGCAGTCTTGATAAAAAGCCATGGTGAAGCCATTTGGCCCAGGGGCTTTGGATCTATCCATTGAAAACACTGCATGCCTAATTTCCTCTTCTTCAAAACTTCTCTCTAACCAGATTGTTTGCTCTTCAGACAGCCTAGCCCGATCTAAACCTTCCAGCCTTAGTCTATTATTTGATGGCTTCCCTGCAATTGATTTAAAGTGATCCACCAACACTTTGTCTATCTCATCTTGATTTGTGACTTCCTCCCCATCCACTTCTAATTTGGCCACACAGTTTTTTCTTTTGCTCCCATTAGCCAACGCATGGAAAAATTTTGTATTGTCGTCCCCTTCTTTGATCCATTTGTGTCTTGACTTTTGCCTCTAGGACATCTCCTCTCTAAGGAAAACTTCTTCCAATTCCTTTTTTAAACTACTTCTCAAAATCCTTTCTTGCTCATTCATGATTCTTTGGGATTCTTTGGAGTCTAGCTCATCAATCCTAGACATCAAAATATTCTTGTGATCCTCTACCCTTCCAAAATTCTCCCGATTCCACTCTTTGATCCTATCTCTCAATCTTTTCAACTTTTTGTGGAACCTTACACCTTTCCACTTTACCCCTCTCAATTCTTCATTCCACCACTCACCAACCTTTCGTTCAAAGTCCGGATGAGTTAGCCACATGTTCTCAAATCTAAAGGGTTGCGGTCCAAAGCCTAGAGTTTCTTGACCTAATATGATAGGGCAGTGATCAGATGTAACTCTAGGAAGGGTTCTAGCCAACCAAATTCCTCCAATGGTCCTCCCACTCTACATTAAAAAGGAATCTATCAAGTTTGGAGCAATGGAGGTTTTCTTGGAATTTGGACTATGTAAAATTAGCTTGTAGAAGGGGTAATTCCTTTAGACCACAGGTGTTAATTAATTCATTGAAATTTATCATGCTTGTAGAAATCGATATTTGGGGATTATTTGATTCATTACAAAACCTGATTACATTGAAATCCCCCCCGACACCACGGGCCATCCCACAAGCCTTGAATTCCATACAACTCCTCCCACATTTCCTTCCTTTCTCTATAACCATTTGGCCTGTAGACATTAGGTAACACCCAACTAAATCCGTCTTCCACATTTCTAAATTTTAAAGAAATCGAGAATCTCCCTATAAGTTCTTCCACGGATTCTACAACATCCTCCCTCCACAAGGTCATTATCCCTCCTGATGCTCCTCATGAGGGAGCCAAGGTCCAGCACACTCCTCTTGATTTCCACACTTTTGACCCATCTTCTATCCAAATCTGCCAACTTGGTTTCCTGTAACAGAACTATATCAGGCTTCTCCCTTCTCAGCAAGTCTTTAATTGCCCTTCTCTTTCTTGCACTCCCTAGCCCTCTCACATTCCAACTAATAATTTTCATAGTAAGACTCCTTTTAAACGCCACTTACTAACCCGGTTCCATCTCACAAAGAACCCTTCCACTAAACTCAATATCACCCTCTATATCTGATATTAGCCTCTCCACTTCTGATCTCTTTTTCTTTTTTCTTCTCACATTCCCTTCTATCTTTTCATCCGGCCCACTGACTTCACCCACCCCCCCCCCCAACCTAGAACTTCTGTAACTCTCCTTGTTTTGAGGATTTTCTTCAGGTTCCCTACCATCTTACCCCTCCTCCTTTGCTTTATATCCTCCAATAATGCACATATTTGCCCCCATATTCTTTCTAACTCTTCCTCTTGCTTTTTCTTAACCTCCAACTCTCCCTCACTCCTCTCACCTTCACCAGTGCTAAGCTCTATGTTTTCCTCCTTCCCTAAAAGTTCCTCTTGGAATGCTGGAATATCTGTTTCAACCACAGGAAAAGCACCAGTACCTAAAACCGAAAGGACAAGAGTACCTTCATTGTTGGGATCCAAATGAGCTTCTTCCAAGGGATCAGGTCCGGCATAGGAAGGCAAGTCTAATCTTGTCTTCTGTGGTCTGATCTGCTTAGGAGAATTTTCATAGGAAATCAACAACTTTTCAAATTCCGCAACTGAGTTAGTCTTCCACTGCTGTCTGGCTTTAGGCGATACATTACAGACCAATCCGGTATAGTCTTTTCTTTCCAAACCCATAACCTGTTCTTCTTGGGTTAAAGAGTTAATCTCCCTTGCAAGTATAGACAGAACCTGAATCCCAACCATAGTTTCCTTCTGCCGTTCCATCTTGCTCTTCGGGCCTCCGTCAAAACTTTGAGAATCAGTTCCCTTCTCCTCCAGAAATAATACTTCCGTGCCAAAGTTATCTTCTTCAGAAAGGTCCTTTGATCTGCTGAGATTGGTGCTTCCCAGACTCTCCGAATCATCTGATTCAGAATCGCTAGAGTCTTCATTCTTAGAGAGCTCCCTCCTTTCCTCTGAAACGTTTTGTTTAACACACCTTGGGTTACGCTTTTCTGGCGACGGATTCTCTAATCTTACCGTCGAAATCCACTTTTTTGAAACTCCAGAATGCACAGAGTTCATTCTTCCCGCTGCTTGGTCTGTAGCACTTGAAGAGGACGAAGATAGATGGTAAAAACCATCTATCGAAGGCACATGCTCAGTCACGTGCCTTTTTAAGTGTCTTTCTTTTGGGTTGGGCCCCTGAAATGGGCTCCCTGTATCCACTTGACCCGCCTTAAGTGGGCTTAATTTTTGCAGCCCATTTAAAGCTTCTGCCCCTGATTTAGGGAGTATCGACCTAAGCAGCTCAAGGAATGTGTTTGATGAAGACAGTCTGGGAACAGAGGTACTTTTTCAAGGGAACAAGGAAGAAGACGAGGCACCAAAGTTCGAGGAAGATGTCGTGAAGGTCAAAGATCAGTTGCCTAAGGCTACGGTTCAGGTGCCACTTGTACCTGCAAAGGAAGTCAGTCCATTAGTGCAGGAAGAGCAGGATATGATGTTGGTAGGAAACTCTTCTCACGCTCCAACCTGCAACGTAACACTAGAAGAAGGATAAAAATGGAAGAGTCTTTCACCTATTAAAGCAGACAGGGTTTTGATTCACAGTGTAAACTCTCTCACGCAAGCTCAGTCACAGGGAACAGCTTTAGGCCCATCTCCTTACGAGAACCCCTCTCCCTTGGAAGTCGTCCCCTCAGTCCCAAACATTACAGGTACTGTTGTCCATTCGGTTTTGGTTACTAATGTGCCTTCTGTGCTTGAAACAGATAAGTTCCAGTGGGGGGGATGAGAAGAGAGATTGACAGCTCTGAGTGCGAACTGAGAGAAGGTGAGATGGCAGTGGAAGAGG